GTAGTGGTGGTGCAGGTGGAGGCGATGGTTGTCGACAAGTGTTGGTGATGATTACAAATTATTTGGTTTATCGAACCATTAAATTGGTTAATCTGTGACCAATGAAAAAGATAAATTGTGACTAAAAAATAAAGTATGACCTAAAAAAATATTAATTTGTGAGTATCTAATAAGTTGTGACATAATATATGTGATTTGTGACCTATAAATAAATTGTGACTATAAATTCTTTATCTGTGATTGATGAATACTCTGTAACCTATAAAACTTTTGAATTGTCACATTTAAAAATTATGATTTGTGGTTGAAAAATAATATGTGATTAACTAAATTGTGAATCTGTGACCATATTATGTAGATATGTGACCCTGATATATCTAATTAATAAATATATAATTAATTAAATAAATTATAAATAAATTTTATTAAATATCTGATTTTTGAAATTTCAAACTTGTATTTTTAGTTTTGAAACAGACAATAATTATCCTCTTATTTATGAAATTTTCCCATAAAACAATTTGACCAATCAAAATATTTAACTTTTACTTTTGGCAAATTAAGTGTTGGATAAAAAAAAAATTAAATCAGATGTTTACGAATTTAATTAATTCAAAAATTCTTTATTACATTTCTAATATTTTTCCCAAAATATGGAAATTTAAACTAATTAAATCAGATGTTTAGGAATTTAATTATTTCAAAATTTTGTTTATAAATTTATTATATTTCTAATATTTTTCCCAAAATATAGCAATTTAAATGATATTCTCCCTCTTTTTTTTTTTTTTTTTTTTTAAATTCTTCGTTTTTTTCCTATTTGGTTTTTTATTTTTTTAGATTGCCATATTTTTTCACCAATGTATAGGTATCTCCAAACTTCGGAGAGTTTGAAGAAACTCTCATGTGCGGAGTCGCTCCGCACTCCAAACTCTTCGGAGAGGAGAGTTTGGTGAGACTCTCCAGTGAGTTTGGAGGTGTTTCTCTAAACTCTCCGGACTGTTTTATGTTACCATATTTTTTCACCAATGTCAAGGTATCTCCAAACTCTCCGAAGAGTTTGGATGCTCCGTACCTTGTGATTTTTTTCCCTCCATTGATTGTTTATATGTTTCTCTTTCTTTTTTGTTCTCTTTGGTTTTCTTAAATTCAAACTATTTGATTTTTTAATTTTTTTAGTTTACCATATTTGATATATAACATATATGTATACATTCCTACATAAGAAACAAATAAGAAAACAGCTTAACAAGCAATTCTCGCACTATCAGCTTAACAAAACAGGTAAGAACATGAATCAAAAAGAAAATTCTTCCAATGTGTAACCCCAAAAAGAATGAAAACCTTCCACCACGCCAACTATAACAATTATGTAAGTAATGAAACTAAGTGAAAATTGTCAATCTATCGAGGACTGAGAAAGAAGCTTCCCCATGCGTCCTAGCAAGTAATTTCAATTGCCCTTCTTTCCTCGATTCCCCACTAGTCCATTCAACTTCACTTCCTCTGCATTAGTTACAGAAGCTAATAAAAAAAGGTAGAAAATGACAATATAATTAAAAAATTTGCAGGAAAAAAAAAAGAAAAAAAAAACCAACCACTAAATTGAAACAAAGCACGTGTAGAGGGAAAATATCAAACTCAAAGGCTCACCTTCCACCACCGCTTCCCGCAATTTCTTCACCTCCAATTGCTTTGCACCACCGTCGTTGGCCAGATCAACGGATGGAACATCATCCCTTTAAAAACTAAAAATTTCAAAAAAAAAAAAATAAATAAATAAATCCAATAGGATAGAAGGGATGGCTGTGAGAAGAAAAACAAAAAGAAATAAAGTTGTACTTGTATTGCCTTACTTCATACCTGAAAATAAGGAGTATGGTTGCCTCATAAGTATGGTCGCCGAAACTAACGAGCATGGCTGCAGGTAAAAACCACATGAGCTAAAGAAGGAAAGGAAAGCAAAAAAAAAAAAAATAGCTTCAACAGTGGAATATGATTATTTTACTATTCCTTAAACAGTGGCTGCTCATTCCCCTTTTTAAAAGAAGTTAGAAAAGGAAAGAAAATAAAACACTATATAACCAAAATAAACATGGATGAAAAATGCCTAAAAAGCTTGGGAAAACTCTAAATATAGAGAGAAGCAGGTATGGAAAAAATAAGAAGTTTATTGAGAATGGGCAGGACTTCTAAGTAATGCAGGTGTTTGTATGAAGAAATTAAATGCTTTTTTTCATGACACTGAAATCAGATCCAACAAAAAAGCCAAATTAATATCACTATTTTTGAAGTCGCAAGGTGTGAATCACAATTATCTTCGACAAAAAAGAAATAATAATAAAAATAAAAATAAAAATCTTTTTCTTTATTAGGGTTGCTTTTAGTAATAAATCTTTTTTTAATGCAAAGTAGTTAGTCATACTTTAAATTGGACTAAAATACAATCCAGAAAGAAAATATTCAAAGCACCTCAGCCAGCTTTCCCCTTGCATTTCCTTTATGAGACTTGCATGTAGGTAGTTAATAACTACGTTGCTCAAGCTCTCTTTTCTGAGTTTCCAATTGCAATTTTAGCTTTATACTATCATTGAATATTTTTTAGTAATGGTTGCATAGAGTTGAGTGAATCTTTCATCTCAAAATTTTGCTCTAGAAGAAGCTTTACCTTCTTCAGTATTAAGAGTTTTCAGCCTCAATGAATTAGTTGTCCATCTTTTACAACTGTATTTTGTTTACCTCAATGAAATTTGTTAAATTACCATCAACCTTTTCTTTTTTTTGGAGCTTTGTCTTCTATATATGTATCACAAATTGTTGTATCTTTAAAGATAAGACACTCTTGATTTTAAGAAGTGCCTAAAGTTAAGGTTCAACACACGCTCTATTTAAAATTTTGAAATATAGAGTAGGTTTGATTTTGCATTTGAATAGTCAAACATCCTTTCTATTTTTATTTTATATTAAGTGCATTAGATGAATTCCAATTTTTAGTATTCCACTTAGATGATTATTTAATTTTTATTCGAATACTTTAACAGTTAGAATCCTACTTGATTGTCAAATGCACATTAAATAAAAAATGTGGAAAAACAATAAATGTTATTTGAAAAATGTCAATGAAAATAATACATAAAGATCGTATTTTTTAATTAGGAAATACTGAAGATTAATTATATATTCTGAGGTATTTTGAACATTAGTTTAGGTAACGTCATTCAAGTCTTGTCTACATGGCTGAAAGTCATTTTTTGAACATGATTTTTCAGTCAACCCCTGCCCTTTCTCCTAAAAAATAAAATAATAAATCAAGAGAAACTTAAGTCCCTATTTGGTTCAGCCATAAAAGTTAATTAAAATTTAAGTTAAAGTCAATATTAATTTTAGCCACATATTTTATGTGTCATATAACTTTTCAACCATATATTTCATCAACTTTTATTAAAATCTGCCAAAAATATGATTTTTATTTAAACCAAAAACAAGGATTAATGAAGTAAATAACAAAAGTTCATCCTTACCAAACACTCTAACAACTCCTGCTTCACACCCTCTAGGTGCCTATGACCGATAGCAGGGCATGGATGAAATATTTTGTTGAATTGGACATGATTGGATACAATCGATTCAATGTATATATGTACGTCAATCCTTTGAAAACGTGTTCTGATATTCATTTTCAAGATTTCCAAAGTATTCATTTCCATGATCATTCCAATCAATCTTAGTTCACCAGTCAAGGAAAGCGTTTTGCCATACGAGTTTTAGAAATGTGTCCTATCTCGAGACGAACACCTATTATCATGTCAGTACATCCAACAAAATCGGTGTTAAGGATAATTGTTATGTGTATACCTTATTTTATTTTGTTCATATATTTATACATTTAAAAAAGAAAAAAAGAAAAAGGACGGCGTGGAGGGGGGGGGGTCTAGAAGGATATATTGGGCTATACTATGATTTTGAAGGGTATTGTAGTGTCGTAATCCCTTGATTAAACCGTCAGAAGAATTTGAACAGAACTCACTCAGTTCCTTCATCGGGCTTACAAAAACACAGCATGGGGACAGAACTGCAAAAGAAGCCAAATTCAACCTAATTAATCCCGTTCAGGCGGACGAAGAATCCCAGGAAAAAAAATAACAATTATTCAACAATTTGGAGCATAATGCACATGAGACAAATCAGCCGAAAACCTGTTATAGCTTATAATCCTAAAGAAGACAGACTCTACTTTGTTTTAGTGTGAATAGTCATTTGTCTACTTTGTAATAACCCAAAAGATCTCAACGGTGAGCTTATTTTCAATGTCGGAATGTGAATCGATGCTTGTCTGCATGATATTGGCGGCCCTCTTTAATTATGTTGGTATAATATTGAGTATGAGAGATTTCATCTTAAAAGGTGAACAGGTAGTCTTATTGTTTTTATATTTAAAAGACGTGAGATTTTAACTTTAAAAGGGAGAATGAGCATGCCATACGTTCCAGTAGAATGTTACATGCACGGGCTTGAATCAATATAAAAATGTGTTAGATAAGTATAAGAGCAATGACAGAGCCTAATTTCACTAAAGTGAGGGCCACATAAATTCTTTTTTATCACCGTGTTCGAGTTCAACTAAATATGTATAAGGATTCATGGTATATGGGCATAGTATCGACTGTGAAAAACATGCATAAAGAATTTGTTAGATAAGTATGGATGGGAGGGAAACATAAAAATGGTAATTGGATCATCGCCTACAGACCGATAAAGATTACAAGATTCTTTTCAAATGATATAGTCGGTTCATGAGATAGATTTATAAAATTATATGGTGGAGTTGAGTATTTATTTTGTAGGGAGTTATATAACTAAATTACATTATGCAGCTTCTTTTAGCAGAATGTCAGACATTGTGAAGACAAATTCAGAAGAGAGATTATCAACTATGATTTGTTAATTGAAGGGGCCATGGATAATCATTTATTTTCATGGAGTTGGCATATAAGATCTAGATACAAGTGACAATATTTGAGGTCATATATAGATATCGAAATATTTGAAGGACATTTATTATGATGAAATTGGCAAAAGAAAGTTATTCGGTCTTAATTTGTAACCATTGTTATAGAAAAATGATTTGATTAAGGAATAGTTCAAATCATGAAATAAGATGTAAGATATAAAAGAATGAAATTGTGTCTATTTAAAGGTTGCTAGAGAAATCATTCAATAGAAGTTCCATTATAGGCAAGTGAAGATCAAAGGTGTGCTCCATATCCTTGTGTATTTGAATCATAGCTCACTGAATTTCGAGGACGAAATCCTTTGAAGGGGGTAAGATTGTTACACTTCACTCATTTACAATCAAAGTCAAGAAATGATATAATCAAAGTCAAGTAATTCAACTGATCAAAGTCAAAGCCAAATAAGGACTTAAATTGAACAAATAATTTCATGGGGCCTAATTTGTAATTACTCATACTTAAAAAGGGTCAGAAATAATACCAAATATGAATTTAGAGATTTAATGTTTTATTATCATACTTAAAGGACTAAATGTTATATTATATGAAGATTTGGGACTTGAGTTGCAATTATACAATATATATCCACTTAAAGGATAAGTAATCCCTTTTTGTCATTTTGGGAGACAATTTCATATACTAGAAGCAAAAGAGAAGGAAGTAAGAAAAAGAAAGAAGAGGGGGAAGAAAAGAGGTTATTGAAGAAGATGAAATATGGACTCAAATATAAGATTCTTCATTTCTTCTATTCCAAGAGGTAAGAAAACACGTTGTTCAATATTGCTAAATTTGGGTTTGTAATTAGTGGCTTGTCTTTAAAGATTTGGAAGAGAGATTAGGTAATGGAATTGAATATTTGTTGAAGTAAAATTTTGAACTGGGCTTATGAGATGAAGACATTCTTTGATTTTCTTGTGATTTCGTGGTGCTAAAACACTTATGTTAGGATTTGAGTTTGGATTTATCAATTTTAGAGCAAATTTAAGCTATTTTCGAGCAATTGTAGTACACAGGTGTTAATTCTGAAATTCTGCCCCCAGAAAAGTGCTATTTCTATCAATGGTTTTGAT